TGTGTTTTTGTTGTAAAATGATCCAGCCTTCAATGACTTAGAAGAGACGAAATGTATGTGCAACGCGTGTTACTTGAGGATTCCTCTAGAGGGAGCACGATGTGTACGCGTAGTTAATCCTAAGGCTTAAGAGGACAGGCATCCATACCTTTAATAGTAAAATAAAATGTATGGATGTTTGTCTGCTCAGGGCTTCCATAAAAGACCTGTCACTGAACATTTCAGATTCAAGACATTTTACTAAAACGTTCATGTCTTCAATCCTCACATGTATATCAAAGTAAAAGAGACTTTTTTTTTCATGGTAGGAAGATTCTACAGATAGACAATGTGAATTGAGAAGCAATTTTTTTTTTTTGTAAGAAATGCTCTGCATATTTAGACGGCAGTCAATAATTCAAATGCACGAGCAAAAAAAAGATATCTAACGTTTGTAATAAGGCTGTCCAATGATTTTTTGCACACCTGCTTTTAGTTAATATACAACATACAGTAAGATGTATTTAAGTATATATGTATATTAAAATGATCAGAACCTGTCTTTGCTGTCTTCAGCGTTGGTGATGTCTTCATAGACTTTCAGCATCGTCTGTGTGCGGTCGTCACGGTGACCCTTAACCTCCTCAACCCTGGAAAATACACATTAACATGTTAGTAAGTTTGACTGAAGGGTGTAAGGCGTACACATGCCTCATTATCTCACTTCTTTCTGAGTTCTCAAGGTAGCAAAATCTGGTGTCTCAAAATTTGGATAAGGGCTTTTCCAGGTTTCTGAAATCAGGATATGGATACCTAAAAAAACCTAAAAAAACAAAATCAAAACCAGGATGGAGTACATGCAAACACACTCAAGTGTCTCTGGATTGATTATTTATGAAAACAACTTTGGTAAAGTAAGTACACAACTCGTCAAAAAGTCATTTCTAAGACATTTCTAATCCTAAATGTAACAATTTATGCCTTTAAAATGGTGTGAATGAACACATTTATTACATAGAGATGCAGTCCTCTCCTAAAATCAGCTGTGAATGCAGATTCAAACAATCATGAACAACCCATATTTGCATTTGTTTTTGGTCCTGCTTTCAGCGGCAAATTAATAAAAACTTGCTGCTCCGGTGAGTGTGTACTGCAGCAGAACCGTGTACGAGGGATTCACTTAAGATGAAGTGTATCGTCCATGTTCACAGGTAATGAAGGAACATGTCAGCCGGAGCAACAAAGGGGCGCCATGACGGTTTGTTTTCTGGCAACAATGAAGCTCTGAGGCAGCGAGGAAAAAGCTAAACGGAGAATAAAAAACTCACTGTTGTTTTTTTTTTGGTCTTTTATGGGATTTGTTGACAATAAATAAATAGTTCATACGTGTTATCCTTTAGACTTATAACGCCTGCAGGCTGCAGGTTATTTTTTGAAGAAACTAGTTTAGCGTTAATAACGGTGTTGAACAGTGTTTGTGGTCATCTGTAGTCCACTTCCTTGTTTGAGCACGGTTGCGTTTACATCTCTCTTTAATTTAATGAATCGAGCCTGAGACAACCTCCTTAAGCGGACTCGGGAGCTCCCTTCTTATTTACGGTTCCAGATCTGGCTGTCTCCTAAAGATTACCCGTAATAGCCAATCGGAGCGAGTAGATTGTGAAGCGCCACACGACTGTGCCCCCGAGCTGAGTGGAACGCTGAAGCTAGAATTATGGCAACAACACGAGTTCCTTATAATGTCTCATGCAAGACAAAAGTGACCTCTGACGTCGCTTTTGATCACTCTAGTTTCTGTGAGATCTTGTCTCTGTGGAATCGTTCCTACAAATGGCAGGTGTGTGGTTTCATGGTCGGACTGAATGATCTTGTGTGCGCATTCTGAGGATTCTAATGTGAGAAATTGTTTGTGATCTGAGAAATTGTCTAGCGTGTAGCCAGTTAGACGTCATGTGTGCTCCTCTCCTTTACGTACTTTCCCTTAAGCTGGGTTGTGACGATATCAGAGCTACTAAAGAGGAAACATGGGCTTCCATTTCCTTCTAAAAAAGTTTCATCAGTCATCAAATATAACACTGTGTCCTAACAGCATTTGAGCTGTAGATGCTCGCAGGCATGCTGTGCTCACGGAATCCGTTAAATGTTATTGCTTTGGTATTTTCAGTTTACCCTTGCACTCTGACATCAAGTGTCTTTGTATTAAAGGTAGACAAAAGGATGTGTGGTACTTTGTATTGATGACCTGTGTCTGTATTGAGTGTTGTGACTCACATCACAACACTCAGAAGCTCGTCAAAAAGGTTTTTGTCCGCTGTTGACCCAAGTCAAAGCTCAACATTTAAACCATGGATGTGGATATTATTCATGCACCACTATCTCCACTTTGTAAAACAAGCTAACCCCCGACTTCCTTGTTCCTCGTCCGTCTACACGAGCGACCGAGCACTGCGTCGTTTACAGGCGGTTAGGACCCCTCAATAGTAAACAATAGAATCAAGCTGATTTTGTCACAGAGGCTCGTGTCATGTGCTGTTAGGACAGGCTGTAAGGTAAAGAATCTCCTCTGGATACAGCACCTGGGCTCGAGTCTCTCTTTGACCTTGGCGATGGACAGGATGTAAGGGCTGATCTGTTTGGTGATGGTGGTCAGGTAAGAGTTCTCCTGTTTCAGCTGCATCAGGTCATGAAGCTGCGCTGAAAAAAAAAACCCCACAGAGAAATAAATTAAAACCAAAGCAGCCAAAAAAAAAAGAATATAATTATGCGGTCTAATTAGAAGACACACCTTCATAGATCTCCTGCTCATTAGAGACCCTCTGGAAAGTCTCATCCCAGACCTGCGAGGAAATGTTGTCAGTTGATTCTCTCCAAATAAAATATGACAAAAACTCTGCAGTTATTCAGCTCATGGGACACCTTGACACTTCTTATTTTCTTTCCCCTTCGTTTACTTTTCAAGCAGATAACGGTGTCTGAAAACGATCTTGTTAGTATGCAGCAGGAGGTCCTGACTGCGAGCAAATGTGGAAATGTTGTTTGTAGTGAGCGGGGCCAGCGGAGTCAGGTACACACTGAAGGTCGAAAGCCATCACTTGACGCACCTCTTCAAACATGACTCTCATAGTTTCCACGGTGGAGTGCTGCGCAGATATCTGGCTGTCAATGTGCAGAGACCTGTCCAAGATCTCTCCCATCTTATCTGTGTTGATGATGGAGTGGTGCTTGGTGAGGTCTCGGTGCAGCTCCTGGACCTGGTCCTTCAGGTTCTGAATCTCTGTCTGGAAAGTCTATAAGCACGCACACACACACACACACACACACACACACACACACTGAACATAAGACATGATACTCAGGAGGTGTGGAGAGTACAGCTGCCAGGTGAAGTGCATCCTGCCCACTCGACAGGAGGTCCCGCTGCTGCCTTCAATGTGTTTATCACAGAGGATCAGAGACTCCTCATGGCAGGATGAAACTTGACTCCAGCGTTTTCTTCAAATGCATCTTGCTAACCTAGCATTCGTTGATAACATACTGGTCTTGGTCCCCAAGCAGTTACCTGCCTTGCCTGTTGACAAGCAGCACCTCTGCACCCTCTGCTGCAAATGTGGTTACTTCTGACTTCAAAAATCAAAGATGGCGTTGGCCAAAATGCCCAATGTGAGGCTTCAAGCAGTGGTGCACAAACCAAGCATTGGTGTCAAAGTGGCTATGTCCCTTTCTTAAATACAGCCCATGTATCAAAAAGTGTTAAACAAAAACAAATGTGTCAACATGCTTCTGTTAGCATTTAGCTCAAAATACTGTTGTTCTTAAGTAGATCCTTCCAGAGCTGCATGCATGACCATAGATTCTCTTAACTCCTGTTTACATCTTGTTCTAGTTAAGAAAATCAGAAGAGTTTATGTCAATCTTCAACACGACAGCTGTCACACACAGCACTCACCCGGTAGGTGTTCTCATAGCTGCGGCAGTGCTGGGTGAAAGGTGTCTCCCTACCCTCAGCCAGCAGGACTTTGGTGCAGATGTTTCGGTGGCAGGTGGGCCTTCGCCCAAGAACTGAGCCCAGGGGCATCTCACTGAGAGACGGGGAGCGGCACAGAATGGAGAGAGGGGACTGGTACCTGAGGGGAGGAGGAAAAACAATAACTAATCCCTCGATAAAATGTCAACAGCAACGTTTCCTCTGCACCTCAGACTATTAGGGCCTCATTCTGAATGAGTTTAACTTAACCTGAAGTCATCTGTTTGGACTAGAAATATGTTACATGTATGCTTGCACTTTTAAAACAACTAGTGCAACACACTTGCATGTATTATTTATTTTAACCAGGAACCACAACTTTCTGTTATTGATGGAAATGGTACGCAAACTGTGCAAGCACTCTGGAAACCACGTCTAGATTTTCTACTACTTCAGCTCACTCCATTTACTAACCATAACTTATTATCTGCTCTACTGTCACAATTTGAAGTCAACACAAGACACTTGAGCTCTAATTGTTGCTGGGGATCAAACCCTCGACCTTCCAGTTGAGAGACGACCTACAATGAGCCACAGCCGTAAAGCTGTAACTTCTGGGTTTCTGCTGAATGCTGACTCATCAATTATTTAAAAGATGTAAATCTAAACCTTCTTCTCATGCAACTTTGTCTTCCTGTTTGTTTTTTCGTTTACAAGTTTTACTGTCAGTTTTATCCTTAATCAATCGTGCCATGTGTGATAGAGACGTCCAACTTCTAAAAGTACTCACACCAGATATTCTTTAACTGCTTGCACGTACATTTAATTTCCCAGTTTGTTGTATTTTCTGTTTTCTCTTTTTTTCCGGCCAATCATGTACTCTAGAGAGACATCCAAAACTCATCTGTTCAAACTGATTAAATAAAGGTTACGTACATCTAAATATATCTTGTGTTGACTGTAAATCTCTGCACTCGCCGTCGCTCAAATCACTCACATCTCTCCTGCATCACATTCACCAGCAGTGCTGAGGTATGTGTCCACATTACAACAAGATAAACACACATTTATCTCGGCTCCAGGAGGACCGAAGTCCTGGCTCCGTGCCTGGAGCAGCATTACTGCCCCGAGGCCATTCAACAATAAGCCATATATGTGAGTACATCCCCTCCACTTTGACATATGAATGTTGTGTCCACTGAGCATTCAGGTGGGATCCCACAACAACCAATTATAGGCTCTGCAAGCAGAGCAGAGCAGCAGCAGCAGCAGCAGCAGCAGGAGGAGAGAAGACAGCTGCAAACTTCACTTCAGCTCTGAGAGAGTTTGTTTTGAAAAGAAAAGGATGGTCAGCTGGACGTTAACCAATCCCCTGCACAGGATCAATCCAGCACAGGAGGCTTACAAGTGGGGAAGGAGCTTTTAGACGGTAAGGAGGACAAATGAGATGAATTAACACAAGAAACAGACTGAACAATGAGGGCGGTATTCTTAATCACAAAACAGTCAGTCAGCCATTTACAAACAGACCACACAAAAATGCTAATTTCCTCCTCTGTGTGTAAAGATTGGACTCGTACATTTGTGTCAAGCACCTTGTAGAGCAGCTATCATCTTCAAGTGTCAAGATGGCAACAACAGAAGTTCGTGTAAGTGCGTAGAAAGTCTGAGTACAGCTCTATCTCTGATCCCAACTTCACTATAAAAACTCAAATCTTGTGAGGTGTATTTGTCTTTTTTTCTCTTTCTTGAAACGACATGTAATGCCTTAACTCAAAAAAACTTAACAAGCAGGTTTAGCTTGCTGCACTGGACGATATTTTTTCCTCATTACAAGAAATTCAGGCCTCATTATTTCTTGTAATATCCTAAAAAAATGTTTTTTTTTGGCTTGTAAGGTAAATCTAGCTTATAGGAATATTTTTGACAAGAATGTAGACAAACACGCATTGTAAGATTTGAGTTTTGGCAGTGTTTACTTGAACTACAATCACTATACAAAACAAAAATTAAAAAAACCCACAAAAGCTACATAGCCTACTGCAATATGAGATCAGTCCAGTTCAAACAACAGAATCAGCTGCAGTGACTATAAAATAGTAAAATTTACCTGCGTTTTGGTTAGCGCTTACTCCTTGCCTTCTCGCCCTGCGTTGATGCAACATCAGACCTGCTTAAAACACGTCTCCCTCTCTCTGCACATGTCATCCTCTGCACACCCAGCCTCCGTCCTCCCATCACTGACGCCAACTAAAGACTTCACCCGTAACTAAAGCTGTGACATCAGCGAGCCCGCCTGGAACAAAGCGGCCCGTCCGCCTCCTGCATGCCAACTTCCAGATGAATCCTGCAGTGTTCTGTGAAATTATGATAAAAATAGTGCCAGCCTGCCAGACGGGCGGCCACCGATCCCTCTGCCCACTCTGCGTCTTGCACTGGCAGGGCGCTAAGCAAGTTGGAAGAGAGAGTTGTCAGTATGTTTGGCATTAGCGGTTGGGCTTAAAGACCTGTGAACAGTTGGGATAAGTGGAACGTGGGGAAGGAAAGGACAAAGCTCTTTGTTCTGATGTTGGGCTGTCAAATAAAAGTTGTTTATTTGATGTCGTTCATGAAAGAATCCATGAAGTAAAAATTCTATTCAGCATTGACAAATTGATTGCTTTTCCAGCATCACCAAATCTTAATGTAATGCGACTAAGGTTGTCAAATTTTCTGCTGCTTTTCCATACCACGTTTTAAGTTATGATACGATATGGTACGCTACGTTACGATGCAATACGTTACGATGCGATACGTTACGATAAGATACGATAGGGTACGATACGATAGGGTATGATACGATAGGATAGGCTACAATACGGTATGATAGGGTACGATACGATACAATACGTACAATCATTATGATACGTTACGATAGGGGACGGTATGATACATTACAGTACGGTACGAGACGTTACGATAGGGTACGATAAGAAACGACAAGGGACGGTATGATACGTGACGGTACAATACGTTACGGTACGATACCTTACGATAGGGTACGATATGATACGTTATGTTACGATAGGGTTACGATACGATACGATCCGGTACGATACGTTACGATAGGGTACGATAAGATACGATAGGGGACGGTATGATACGATACGTTACAATAAGATACGATAGAGGAAGATATGATACGTTATGATAGGATACGATACATTACGTTACGATAGGGTACGATACAATACAATACAATACATACGATACGGTACAATACAATACGATACGACAGGGTACAATATGGTCTGATACAGTGCGATACAATGCCGTACAATAGGGTACGATACAGTATGGTACGCTACATTTTAGATGTCCCCCCACAGTAGACGCTGTGATTTTTTAACATAAAGCTGTGGGGAAAGAGAAAGAGCAGTGTCTAGATTGCACAGATGTTGGCAATTTGCATAATCGTACCGAAAGGTTGTCCACGTACTGTATCTGTGCAATTTAGACAATGTGCCTGAGTTTGCATAATGTGTTGGGTTAATAAAAACAATATATTACCAAATATTGTGGGACTAGGACTTATTTTTGTTGCAGTTGTATCAGAACAGGTTGATATCATTTGATGTTATCCTAAAGAGGTTTAGAGATCAGTTATTGTGACAACCCTAAATGCATCATCTTTAATCTAAGTGATCCAAAATATAAAAAGCTCCAAACCTCTCACACTCACTCATACATGTTATCAGGTTATCTGTTGTTTCCTGCCCTGACCACAACAAAACCAGAGCTTTCTAAATCTGGGTCAATGCCTCGCTCCGTGCCTGCGTGCAGCAAGGTGAGTTATATAAACATATCAGACTACATAGCTCGCAGACAGACAGAATAACTTCCATAGTGGGACTCAGCATGGCGCCTCTCGCCGCAGGCATCGCTGTCTACCATCTGTACTCGCAAACCATTTGGGGATTTCGACTTTGGATGCTTCACAAGTGTGACATTTTCTTCCCAGACTTTCTGCTTTCTTGGAAGGATCCAGAACATGTCGTGGTAATGTTCGGGCTCATTGTGAAATAAAAACCTCAGAGGAAAAGGGATCGCTCTTGTGATGACATGTGAAGGATATTTGGCAGCAGGTTAATGATCTCACCTCGTCGCAGCACCTGCGGATCCGGAAACAGACGGAGGGCAGCGCTGACAGAGCAGCAGTAACGGCTCCAGACAGCGGGCAAACTCACTCCTGTAGTCGGTGTTGATCTGAAGACGGACAGAAATAAAGTCAAAGAGTGGGGCATTGCTTCAAGGGAAGGACAGAAATTCAAATTAAAGCCAGGAGTTCAGGTCTATTCTTGTACAATGACCCTACATATGTCGATAAAAATAGACGCTAAAACAAAAGAAATAAGATCAATATGATGACATCCATCATCCTAAACTTAAAGGGGAATAAATAGAAAAAAACACTTCCCTGCTAACTTTTCTGAAATCATGAAATCATTTCTTTAGTCCCCTTGGACCTGTGGACATGCATTAAAGGAGAGACGTCAGAATGGGGCTGCTACACAGAGAGAGCGCAAGAGCTGTTGGGGGTTCAGTGCCTTTCTCAAGGGCACCTCAGCAGTACTTGGAAGGTGACCTGGCACCTCTCCAGCGACCGGAAAAACGTCCATATTCTGGCCCACAACGGCACTTGAAGTGGCAACCCTCTGATTCCCTTCCCAAGTCCCTACAGGCTGAGCGACTGCCTCCCCCTCAAACGTCTCAAATGTCTTTTGATGTAGTTCTGTTTGCTCTGGCGATTCTAGAGTCTTTTTGGGCCCTCTGCAAAAACCAATTGGGGGCCTCCAACCAGTGTTCATCCCCATCATGTCTGCCAGTGTCCCGACAATTACTTCTCTTTTTCCAGTTTCTTTTTTTTCCTCCTAAAGACAGATAATTCATCCTGTTTTTTAATTTATTGACTCTCATTGACAAACTTTGGTTTTCACAGCAATAATGCAACGCTTAGCAGGGCAACGAGAGTGAGTGCTGTCAGATGGTGGCCCCTTAGGGAGGTTTCCTACTGTCGTTGCAAAATTCGCACATTTTGGGTCACTGCTTTGGGTCACTTGGGTCACTTTTGTCTCTCTCATTTCCTCTGAACTCTAACATTAACTCGCCCACACTGATGTAAACGGATGTGTGTTGCTCCTGATAAATGACTGAATAAAGCTCCTATTACAACTCCAGGAGCTTGACTGTCTTAGGAGGAAAATTGGTTTGGGGCTTTTGGGGCCTCGGATGAAAAAAAAAAAAAACTGGTGAAAGTGCACCGGGAACAAATGAAACAATCACTGCAGCAGATTTCATTCTGAGTGTAACCTTTTGCAGCTCTGCATGAGGGCTGCTTTGGACTCACTTTGCTGCTCTGCACCGGTCTCAGTCGATGAGGGAGCTTCACAATCCTCTTCAGACGCTCCATGAGTTGCTGCGTAAGCAAAAAAAAGATCCGTCTGTGAATCAGTGACCTGTTTCACCTCGCTCACACCACACGGACAGCCTCAGACTTAGCCTCCATTTAAACACCAGCTATGTTACTTAAGATGTACATACAGCAGATACAGTGGTGTAAGCACCACTGAAAATAGATTTTTAATACATTTACACAGTCAGTACTCACCACCTTTCTTACACTGCAGCACTGTGAATCTACATTCATCCTTGTGATGAATTCCCACATAAATTAAACATAGTCCATAGTTTAAGCGGCTGCACTCACGTAACCCATGTCCAGAAACTCAAACTTGTTGGCCGAGCTCAGAAACGCCGAACAGGTGACGAGGTGGACCTAAAAACACCAGAGATTAAAAGGATCCAATTCAAACAAGCTGCAGGGAGGACGAGACACCATCAGACTGAGATTGCATTCATCCTGCGACTGCTCACTCAGTACATCATCGTTTTCATAAAGGCATAGGCAATTAACAAATAAGAAATGCACCCTGGAGTAACAACGCTGTGAAGTCAAACTACCCCTAGGCAGAAGTATAAATGTAGGCGACAGGTGGTCGAAATAAATGCACATTTAAGTTAGCATTTTGTGCTGTTTCATACCTCTACTGCACCAAATTAAACAGAGAAAAAGTGTTATTTTCCTCCACTTGGTTTACATCTGCATGTATTTATCAGATTAAGAAAGTAAATGCAGCAGTACTGGTTTGAAGTACTGTCAGTGACATTTTGACGTCTGTGAAATGTGAGCAGTGAAACCCGAGAGCAACTTTCAGGCAGGCGTTCCCAACATTGGGGTCCCGACCCCATGTAGGGTCGCATGGAATTAAAATGGGGTCGTCTGAAATTGGAATTTATTGATTGGAAGTTTTACATTATTCTTTTAAAAGCAGTCTCGTTACATGACTGAACAAACTTCTTTAATGCTCACTTATATGGATTTGAAATGCAGTACTCTCACATCAGTGAAGGATCTGAGTTCTTATTGGTTCAAAGATGCCGCTGGAAACATTTCAAGTTATTATTCGTTATCATGTCACTGTTGTTCTCTACCTGCAGGGTCGGCAGGAGGGCAGTGAGGTGAGAGAGCTGCTCCTTCAGTGCTTTCTCCTTCTCCTCATGCTGACTGCAAACACAAACACACACACACACACACACACACACACACACACACACACACACACACACACACACACATATAAAAACACACAGAGACGCATAAGCATGTAACGCTACACCTTCACATCCTCGCCTGCTGAAATACTCAGAGGAGGAGGTGCAACCACAAACAACATACTCCATATTTCCAGAAGCTAATCTATCTGTGTTCTCCCTGTGCAACAAACACACATGCGGGGCGGATGCACAAAGACCGACATAAATAGACTTTAACACCCTTCCGGGAACATAGCCTGGACAACTTCCAGGCAATGAGAGAGCGAGAGAGAGAGAGAGAGAGAGAGAGAGAGAGATGGGGGACAGTGGGCATGAAAAATCTCATTAAAGATCCCCACAGAGTGCAAAACGATACACTCACTCACTCACTCACTCACCAACGCACAAATGTTTCCCATTCAATCACACACACACGCACACACAGACAATGCTGGAAATGATTCCCTCTCAGATTTGTACATTTGGAAGTCCTCCTGTTTTGAAAAGAAGTGTGAACATGATCAGACAGAACAGAGATGAAGAACCATTTTTTCGTCTTTTTATGTTCAAAATCCATGAATTATTCATTAATCTTGTGCGATATTAAATTGATGTGCCATATTTTGATCATCGAACCTAATTAGTTTAAAACCTTAGACGACAATAAATCAAACTTTAATGATTGCTGAGGGGATTCAGGAAGAATTTGTAATTATTTTGGGTGGCTTGATTCTCGGTGGGGGTAATTCTAAATGAATTGATATCATTATCATCCTGTTTCTGTGATTTCTGGAACAGCTTCACAGCCTACGTTTTGAAAAAGCAGGTTCAAACAGAGTAGGAGACTACAACAAGTCTGCTCTTAAAAACCAAAACATTTCAGTCGATGAAATCGAAGGTGCTAAAAGTGCTCTGGTTTTATGTAACATGTCAGGAATCAACAGTCTGTTTCCATATTTTCAGCAACAGCTGGAAATTATAAAATCTATATTTGAAAAATTATTATATTTTTACTCTTGAGTTGGATTCAGGGACAAACTGCAAACACTGGCTCAAACTCTGTAATTCTACTGAAGTGGTTATAAATTAGCACCAAGCTTCTCCATGTTTCTCTAACTCTAATATCTGTCTCTAGTCTGTCTACAAACCCCCCCGATGATGATAAAAGTCCATCCTCTCCGTCTTTTGCCTGCTCCACTTTTCAGAAAATGTGTGCTCAAACAGGCCATTTGGAGATTTTACCTTCATGACATCACAAAGGGCAGTAACCCCTCCCCCACAGCTAGGTGACACTCCCACAGCTAGGTGTTTGTTCTGCCCTCTGAGTCTGCCTTCTCACCTTAAACAATAGGACATGGAGCGAGAAAACCAGAGACACCCAAGAACCTTCCAGGGAGGGGGGGTGGTCAGACACAGCTCATTTACATTTAAAGGTACAGATACAGAAACAGACTGTTCTGAGCAGGGCTGAAATAGAGGGGTTTATAGATATGATCAAATACAGGATCAGAGTGGATTTAGAACAAAAAACTTCACACACATGTTTTGGGGAGCTCTGATACTTATTTAAACTGGTTGAAAAGGAGGAAAATTTGTGACCTTTAAAGTAAAAATCATCCAGTTACCACAAAATATCTTCATCATAGACAGCCTGCGACCTCATCCTCCACATGGCACTTTATATTATATTTAACAGACCCTGAAATATTCACCAATTAGTCCTCCTTTAATGCACCTCTGTTATGTCCACTTTGTGTTTTGAGTGGTGCACATGCAGGTAAAAAGACAAATTCCTGCATTTCGCATGCAAAAAGTAAACAATAAAGTGTTTTGTATTTTGTTCTTTTCTAAAATGTGTTCGGTGAGAAGGGGAGATTATTCCACAGCAATTATGGTTCTGCTTTTCACCACAGCATGATGGGAAAACTATGAAAAGACCCGCAGTCGCAGCAGGATAATAACATTAGGCTATATAGTAAATATTGTGACTCAAGCTTAGGGAAAGAAGTGTAAATCTTGATATAAGTCTTATTTTACCTCTGAGCTGCTTTGAGCAGGATCTTCTTCCTCTCTGCGAGTTTCTCCTGTCAGGAGAGAACAGAGAGAAAAACGGCCTCTTTAATTCCCCACACCGCTGTGAAAATGGCCTTGAGCTCTCTAATACCTAATGATTTTTCAACATTGTGAAGAGAAAAGAGGCGTACAATCCACAATGTGACGTCTGCTCTACTGACGCTTCATTAGGCTATACCAGGGAAATCTACGAGCTCAAAATTAAGAAAACAGAGACATCTGGTGGCTCAACAGTGCACGTGCAGCACACAGAGGTCAGAGATTGGTCATTTAAAGACGTACTCTATTAATCCCGCGAGGGGAAACTCAATTTCACGCTCTGTTGTTGAACATGCTACACACACGCACACGCACACGCACACACACACACACACACACACACACACACACACACACACACACACACAGGATTCTGTGGACACGCACTAATAGAGAGATGTCAGAGTGAGGGGGGGGGGGGGGGGGGGCTTGCTTAAAGGCACATCAGCAGCACTCTGAAAATCAACAGGCACCTCTTCCAGCTAACAGACCGATTTCCTGACTTGGTCTTAACCAGGACTTGAACTTGCAACCTTCCAGTTCCCAACCCAAATCCCAACAGACTGAGATACCCATGCCTCATTTACTAATCGCAAAAATTTCAGTTTATATATATTTTTCAAATATAAATAATTAGAGTGATTTAAATGTATGGATGCATGTCTGTACTATGTTTTATTAAGTTTTCATTGATGTTTGTATGACATCTAACTCAGACTATTATTCACTTACTTTGTAACTTGTTTTTTTGAAAATTGCCACTTAAATAAAGTGATTATTATTATAACACTAACAACAGAGTTATTTATAATGACAACACATTTAAATGATCCATAATTCTCTTTTGTACTAAAACAACCAGGAAGTATTAGAGCGGGGGGGGGGGGGGGACTGGCACATAGGCGTAAATGTGGTTTCAACTGAGGCATGCAATAAATAAATGCATGTAACACGAGGGGATGTGACATTTAGATTGACATAGTTGGGACTCTTCATTGTGCTTTGTCTTACTAAAATGTCTAATTTGTAGGTTGGGGTTATCATGCAGGAGTCTCTCTTCTCACGGTGTGTTTATGGGAGAAAAAAAACCCCACATTGGGATCGTTATACAACCTGCAGGCTGTTGAACAGAGAGCAGATTGCACTCTCCTCTTCCTCCACGTTCAGACACACTTCTCCAATCATCGCTCTCAGCAGAATGATCGCCTCTCGAGCTGATGTCTGCAGCTCCTTCACCACCTACAGATGGAGGAGGAGGAAGAGGAGGAAGAGGAGGATGGAGGAGGAAGAGGAGGGGGAGGAGGAGGAGGAGGAGGAAGAGGAGGAGGAGGAGGATGAGGTTGTCAGTCAATAAAATGTCATACATGCTGCTGATCTGTCACAATGCCTGGATAGGGTTTATGCAGTCTCAAAGCTGAGACAAAGTGACGTTTTCTGTCTATAAAAACATGTAAAACATTGGTAAGGCTCATTTAAAAGAATATCTACGTCCAATCAAATCTGTTTTAAACTCTTTTGTGTGGTTTAGATGTCTATCTGAAGCTGTACTGTTTATATCTGGTCCACACACAGATTGAAAATCCAACGTGAGCAGCGATGAGATTTGTATTTTAATCAGAAAAGCTCAAACTCTCACAGAA